GCGACTCCCGCCCGCTGCCGGAGACGCATCCGCCACGAGGGCCTCGATCCAGCGGAGAACGACCCGACGGGGCTGGGGCCTCAAGGCTCAAGCCCGCTTTTTCGGCCGCGCGACCTAGCGAGACCGCGGAGAAGGGCTCGCGGGGAGGAGTGGCCCTGGCAGCCTGCAACCGGCCCGAATCCGCGCGCTGCCGCGAGCCGGCCCAGCCTCGCCTCGAGCAGCCTCGTAGGCCACCGCCGAGCACAATATTGTAGATAGTTGCCAGACTTGTAGACTCTGCAACTGGATGCCCATCACTTGGCATCTCGATGGGGTTAGTATCACTTTGGTGCGTCTGTACTTGGAGAGGCCAACTTCATTAGGAATATTGCTGCCACGCTTTCGTCCACGGGTGCATTCCTCCAATCCTGCTAGCTCCCTGGGATAGCTGCTGGAGACGCGAACGCGTTCCCCGAACAGCGTTGGAAGGCAGGCTGGCCTCATAATATCGGTGCCACTTTCGCTATCACACCCAAAGGTTTCACGCGTTTCGAGGAGTTCGCCGAGCCGCCTCTCGTCGATAACACTTCGATGACTCATGATGCGATCCCCGATGCTGAGAGTCCCGAGACAGCCTCGGCCCCATGTAAGTCCAAAGTTGGCCAGAGCTTGGCGAGCGCAGCGCTGGCGCCCACCCGCCGCTGAGTCACGCACATTCTTCTCGAGCGCCCCGCGGGGAAGGGGGCGAAGCCAGACCCCGCCAGCGAAAGGCAACAACGCCCGAAAGAAAAAGCCCCCCACCCCCGCCGCTGCCGCCGCCGCCCCCCGCCCTCTCCGATCCTTGCCGAAAGAAAATTCAAAGACCGGAAACTCACCCACCAGTGCGGGGGAGTTCTGGGGCCGAGCCCTCTGGGGGGCTCGGGCCAAGAGCCAGAGCATCCTGCTCGCCAGTCCGCCTGCGATGGGGGGGCCCTCCCGCGGCGGCTGGCTGCGCGACGCCGAGAGCTGCCAGGGGCAACGCTCGTCTTGATGTATTGGATTCGTCAGAGGCGGACCCCTTCTTGGAGCTGGACGGGCCGGGTGGCTGGGAGGGCTTGGGCGACCCCGACGAGCCACCCCCGCCCCTCGAGGAGTTTGGCGATTTGGGGGAACATCGCGGCTCGCGCACCGAGGCCCCATTTCTGGAGCAGGGCTTGGGGGGAGGGGCGCGGGGGGCCTGGGAGCCAGTTCGGACTGGAGGGGCGCCCGCTGCCCCCAGCGCACTTTGCGCTGCAGATGGGGCGCAGCAGAAGCTCACGGGGGCCCTGCGACCGAGATGCCCGAGGAGATCTGGCGGGAGGTCGCCGCGTGCCATTCCCCCGAGCCAGCTCGTGCCAGACCACATCGCACGTTGCCCAGCTTTCCAGGTCTGGCCGCAAGGCTCGCTCGCCCTCGGTCGGGAGCACGGGGCCCTCGTCCAACGCGCGGGAGCTTTCTCTTTATAAGGCTCACGCCATGCCAGACAGAGCAGCGGCTTCCCGGCAGAGCCTTGAATTACCATCCTAAGATGTCAGGAGCGAGACGGCGTGGCTTGAGACGGCCTCGCACCTAGAGATTCGAGGCAGGTTGGACCGGAGCGGCCGACGCGCCCAACTTGCATTGCACCCCCGTCGGGGCGGGGGAGGGGGGGGCAGCGGCAGCGGCGGGAGCTTTGCAGCTTTGCCCAGAGGCTTTCGCAGAAGGCGCCCCTCTAGCAGGCGCGAGGTCGCCCGCCGAAGCGCGCTTCCATCCCCTCTTGTGGCGGCGGCAGCTTTCGGACGCTAGCGAGGTTGATCAGCGGATATTGTTTGGTTTGGCCCCCCATGCCCCCGATGAGCCCCCCGCGCCCGCGGCCGTGCACTGGGAGAAAGAGCTGCGCGAACGGGCCGACTGGCTCGCAGGCCCCGCCGAGGCAGCCCCAAGGCAGCCCCGCGGGATCACGAAGCCCCCGCACCCGTTTTGAAGACGAGCTTGCGCGGGGCACGCGCGATGCAACGTCGCCACTGGAGATAGCAGATGCCACAACCGAAGTCTTCGAAGGCACCTGGCCTTCGGAAACTGCCGCGAGGGCCGACGCCGCAGACAAGAGCATCCTCCTGCCAACGGTCTGGGCGAGGAACTGGGCATTCAACTCCCGCCTGCCCAGGATATCGCAACTGCTGCGACCGGTCTCGAGGCTGCTGCCCGCTATCCTGACGGACTCCCACTCCTTGCTGCCGGGCATCTCCCCGACGCCTTTCCCTGCCGCTGCTCTGCCGGGCGCAGCCGATGCCGGGCGCCCCGCGCGCGGCGCGAGAATTTCCCACGCCCCAGCGGGCCAGGCGAGGAGCTGGCGGTTCAGCCCCCACCTGCCCAAGATACCGCGGCCATTGCGATTGGCGTTCAGAGCGCCGCCCGCCGCCTCGACCTCCGCGACCACATCGACGACGGCGAAGAAATCGACCACGAGGTGGGCTTCGCCGAGCCCGCTGACCCTGGAGGACCCAGCGCGCCGGCCAGCTGCTACGTCGCGACCTCGCAGTTCGGCGCAGAGACTGCCCAGTGCGATGCCCAGGGCGGGGCCGACCTCGATCGGCGCGGCCAGATTGTCTCCCCTGACTACGGCGGCACAGCGCTACTTCCTGATGGCCTACAACACAGCGATGGCGAGGCAGCGAACAATGACAGAGGCGACGCCGACGGCGGAGCGGGAACCCTGGAGCTGGCGACGCCGCCGGCGCCTGCGGCACCCATTCCCCTGGCGCCTATCGCCCTGAGCGATGCGGAGATCAACGAGGCCACGGTCGCTCACCATGCTTTCGTGGCCCAGGCTGGCAGCGACAACGCGCCCCACTCTTCCGAGTTCGTCCAATAGCTGCTCGAGAACTGCATGACGTCTTGGACCGCTCCGCTCGCTCGCAAACGCGGTCAGCGCTGACCAGGCGGACGCGGCCGATGACGACGACTTCTGCCCCCCCGCCGTCGCGGCGGAAGGCAGCGCTGCAGCGGACCTGCAGCCTGCCGCTGCGCGGTTCGACGACAGTGAAGACGGCGACTGCGTCGACCTCAACGACCCGCTGGCTCCCTCCCATGAGTCGCTGAGAGACGGGGCCCGCCGCGCCAGCGGCGACGAGTGTGGCTGGGAGAATCCGCGCGCCGGGGTCGCTCACACCCCCCCTGCTCCTCCACCCCTGCTCTTTATAAATAACTCCTCCCTGTCGCGCCCCCGGAAATGTTCGCATTGGCTTGGCGCTTCGCCTGGGAATCCATCGCAATTTATAGTTCTGAAGTTTGACATATGCAACAGCTTCAAGGATGCGGGGCGGGCGTTTTCCAAATGGAATTTTCACCGTGGCGCCGCGCGCAATCGCACTGACGGTTTACAACGGCTTCCAGCATGGAGGGCGGGCCGTTTTCAAAACGGACCTCTCGCCTCACGATCGGGAACTTTTGGAGTGCGCGTCGCTCTGCCGGTTCTAACCCACCATGTTCCGGCGCGACACGTCATCCACGGCCCGGTCCCCCAGCGTCGACGCCCCGGGTTTTCCCCAGCCTGCCGCGGAGCGGAGATATGGGCTATCCGCTCGCATGGCGTAGCGTGTCGTTGGGGCCGCCTCCGCGACACGTTAAGCAAAAGTTCCCGACCGCAGCGCCGCGCTCATTCGTTTTGTCAGTTTGCAGCTGCTTCAACGATGGGGGCCGGGTCGTTTAAAAAGTGGGCCTATCGCTTTCGCTCTGCGAACATTCGTTTTTGTAAGTTTGCAGCAGTTAAAAGGATGGTGGCCGGATCCTCTTCAGAATAGAACGTGGCTCTTGCCGCAGCTCCACGCGCATTCGTTTCAAAGAATACAATGGTTTCAAGGGCTCGTGGGAATGACGTTCCAGTAATGGTGTTCTAACACGATTTTGGGGTTTCCTGAACGCAACAGTTTCGTGGATTCACCGCGTTGAAACCCCAATAAAAGCGTTCGGGCTTGATTCAGGATTGTCAGGACGCAGCAATCAGGTTGATTCGCGGCGCAGAAGTTCCAAAACTGGTATGTTGACAAACATTTTTTGAAAGCGAAGGATGCCCAAATCCGATCAACGTGTAAAATCTAGAATTGTGGTTATGCAGCCCTCCTTTTGTCTTGGCGAGGCATCGGTTTCCCGTTTGGGATCATCCATGGTTGAACGCATTAATTGTTTCAACTATTTGGACGGTTGTCTTTCAATGGGCCATTGTTTTGCAATGTTTGTTGTATAAGCGCTTAGGAAAAAAAGGGAAATTAGAGGCAAGGTTTGGTGCAACATCGTTACTGCGTCTTGGGTTTACACTGGTCCTCCTGATCCTCCTCCTTTTGCTTCTCCTCCTACTCCTCCTCATCCTCCTCCTGACCCAACTACTGCTCCCCCATCCCCCGCACCATCTCCGATTCCTTCCCCCCATCCGCTCAAGCCTCCAATCGGCAACATCCCAACCTACTTATACTATATGTGCGTCGCCCCCCCAGGGGCGACGCACGCACCGAGAAATCTTATAGTATATGCGTCGTGGCGGGCGCTTTCTGGCCACACCGCTCGGGAAACGATATACTACAAGATGGGTATACTATATGTTCGGGTCGGACGCGCGCCTCCAAGGAGGACATATAGTATTAGTATGTCCATGTGCGTCCCATCCAGTGCACTATTGCATCACGCTCGCGCTGCAGTGGTCAGAATGTGTTCCGTTTCAGATCGACTGTTCTGCGCCGCGGCGTCACCGTTCCGTCTCCCGCGGGGCCGCGCCCCGGCGCGCATGCGAGCGCCACGCCCCGTCCCCTCCACCCCCCCTCCATTCCCTTGCCCTCCTTTCTGCTCCATGGAGCGAAATCCCGCTGAGTCCGACGACACTCCCCTCCCCCCTTCCTGATTTGCCTCCTCCCCCTCCTCCCCCTGCTCACCTTCCTCCTCTTCCCAGTAGTTCGCGCAGGAGCTCGCGACGACGACGACGACGACGACGACGACGACGACGACCACGACGACCGCCCTGCCCCCGCGAGGTTCACGAGCCAGTGCGGCGGGAGGCATGTGGCCGTGCGGAGGGTCCCCCCCGTGAAGGCGCCAGCCGATTGTACCCACGGAAGGGGGAGCAGGAAGAGCAGCAGGAGGGTAATCATTGATCGAGGTTGTTGGGCGCTTCGGCTTTTTGTTCGGGCCTCTGGGGGCGGACACCCCCTGGAGAAAAAGAGAAAGCGGACGAGGAGGAGGAGGAGGAGGAAGTGCAACAACAGTAATGGCAGGGAGGAGGAGCGAGAGGAGAGAGGGTAAGCGGGAGGGCAGGTGCAGCAGCACGAAAGAGGGGGGAAGGAGGGGGAGACGGGGGATGATGAGGGAGTGAGGTATGGGTAAAGGGGGGAGGGAGGGAGGAAGGAAGGGAGGATGGGAGAATGGAGGGAGGGGAAAGCAGGGGGAGGAGGAGGAGGAGCAGGTGGAAAGGGGGTGGAGCACGTGGAGTAATTATGAGGAGGGTGAGGAGGAGGAGCAGCAGCAGCAGGAGCAGGGGGAGAAGGATGAGGAGGAGGATCATGCCCTCTCCATTCTCCCCCTTCCCACTCCCCCGGCGTTTTCCCTCAGCCCGGCCTCCTCGGCCTTGCGCCTCCTCCAGCGCCACCCGTTCCCCCGCTCCTCCTCCTCCTCCTCCTCCTCCTCCTCCTCCTCGTCATCATCAGCATCATCATCATCATCATCATCATCATCATCATCATCATCATCATCATCATCATTTGCATACTCATCCTCATCCTCATCTTCATCCTCACCCTCATCCTTCCCCCACACACGAAGGCTTCAACACCTCCGAGGTGGAGGGAGTAAGCTTCCAAAGTGGATACGCCAAAGCCTCCCATCTGGAGGCGTCGGACACCCTCCAGGCTGCGCCCACCACCAAAGGCCTCGGGACCAGAGGGCTCGAGCAGCCTGCCAGAGTCCCCCAAGGTCCTTGGCAGCCTCCGAGGGGTCCCCCGCGAAGCCCGACTTTGGACCCATGACCCCCGCAAGCTCCTGGCCGAGAGAACGCCGCGAGCCCTCTGGGTCCTCCCCAGAGGCCCGCTGAAAACCTCGAGGGCCGCCAGGGAGACTTCCAGAATTTCCGAGGACGCCCCCCACCAACCCACCCCCCGGCTCTGACTATCTTCCAATGTCCAGGAGGGGTGAAGTGTGAGGGCGCGTCTGAGGAGGAGAAGGAGGCCAGGTCAGATCAGGGCAGACAGTCATCAAAAGGTTTTCGGCGAGAAGGCAAACGGGGGGGTGAAGTATATTTAATTGCAGCTCGTAGCCCCACGGAGGAGGAGGAGGAGAATGATGATGATGATGATGATGATGATGATGATGATGATGATGATGATGATGAGGATGAGGAGGAGGAGGAGGAGGAGGAGGAGGAGGAGGAGGAGGAGGAGGAGGAAGAGGAAAGGCATGTCCTCCCGAACCATTTTGGCGAATGGACTTGCCTCAGGCGTCGTGCCCACAGTTGCTAAGTCCCTCCAGAGAGGGCAAGGGGGCGCGCGTTAGTCACGCCACTGGACAACAGGCCCCGAACAAGGCCCGAGCCAGCTTAGCACCGTCGACTCCGTGCCAGACGAGGCCAGGCTCGCTGTCTTGTCCAGCTTACTCAGGCGCATCATATACTGCAGAGTCATCACAGCTTTGACAGATCAGCAATGTGGACATGCAGGCCGTGCAATCGCCAGAACAGAAACAACGTTTGGGACTGCAAGTGTGGGAACAAGTGGGGTGCTCGGCCAAGGAGAGACAGCAGCTTGTCCAGACGAGAGAATCTCAAAGTGAGCGAGACGATCAGAAATATCATCGTTGTCATGCCAGAACAAGCATACAACCATACTGAGCGGATCAAGCCGCCTGAGGGCCGCCCCGACGCACTCACAAAGTATCGCAAGGAGACACAGGCCAATAGCCGAAAACTTGGCAACTTGTATCATGTCAGCAAACTTGCGGACAGAACTGACCCTGAAACGGCGAAGGAGCTCGGGGTCCGCAAGCTCATGATGACAGCCGCCAAGGGCACCGAGAAGCAGATACATGATTTGCGCACCAAAATGCTTGCAGTTCGCGAGAGGCCCAGGACCGTGCAGAAGAGGATTGGCGACTGCATGCGCGAGGGGCGTAAACTGAAACGCAGCATCGAGCAGCATCGGGATTATATCGTGCAACTTCAGGTTAAAAAAGACGAGGGTTGCATTATGCAGATGGACCAATGCCGCGTCCGACAGGAAAAGTAGCAGCCACAGCAGCAGGAACAGCACCAGCAGCCGCAGCATCAGCAGCGTCGTGAACAGCAGCAGCCCGAGCAGCTAGAGTCGGATTCACATAATGCCAGGGACGCTGAGCTGTCCAAACGCATGGGGAACATTCCGCAGTCGATCAAGGTAGACTCGGGCAGACAGGAGGCCACAGACGGCATTCTCAGCAAGATTATGACTGGTCACAGTTCTCGTGCGTGCCATCTCGAGCGCATCATCGACCAGCAGTCGCTAGGGCATCAAAAGCTCGGCCAGCCGTCCACGACGCAGGCGGCAGCCGCCCAAGCTCAGACACAGCGTCAAACGCAGCAGCTGCAGGCAGCAGCAGCAGCATCCATGCAGCGGCCCAGCGGCGGGCAATGGGCGCAGCCACCGCGGCCCCCGCCTCCGCCGAGAGCCGCGGCCGCTCCTCCCCCGCCACGGCCTCCGAAGGTAGAGCCGTCTCAGGTTGAGGGCAAAGCTGCGCCAATTGCCCGCGGCGGGATGCAGACGCCGCCGACCAAGAAAGGATGCGAATCGCCATCAGCCGTCGACCGTGCTGCGCCTCCAACGCCAGTTGCAGACGCGGGCGCGCTGCCAAGTTCACCAACCTCGCCAGCGCCGACGCAAGGTTTCACCCGGGAGGAGCTGACCCCCCGGACCTCGCGACATCTTGGATCACGTCCAAGGGAACGCGGTCGAGGCATCGCAGGCCAGCCCCATTCCCAATGCGCAGCACTCGCCCAACTCGCACACGCACCCCCCCGAGCTGGGCAGGGGCAGCGGCGCGCGGCGCGCCGCTGGCAGAGATCGCGGCGGAGACAGCAGAGGGCGCCAGGAAGGCAATGGAGGAGGTGCCCAGCCAGACAGCAGAGACCATCAGGAAGGCAATAGAGAAAGGCAATGGAAGAGGCGGCAGAGAAGCACGCGCTCGAGGAGAACGCAGACAGTTCACCCCTGCAGCAGAGGTTGCAGAAGTACCAGTGCAACGAGGAGGCGGGCGATCGAGCAGAGCTACGATGAGCGCCTCGCTCGGGGGCGCCAGCGCGCGGGAGTTCAGGGCAGGGGACCTGCCTTGCTCGCGCGCGGCGATCTACCAGCTCAGACGCGGGACCTTGCCGCCCAATGGTGGAATCGTCGCTTCCTCGCAACCCCGTCTGCCCGCGTCGGCGACGCGATGCTAGGGGTCGGCCTCGCGCGGGCGACGACTGGCACAGAGCCGACTGCCATGACTTGCGAGATGTTGGATCACATTCGTCTCGCGAGGCAGCTGTTGCTCGGGCGCGCCGGGGCGCGCCCGGCGACGAGCAACGTGGCAAACCTGTGGAAGCAGCCAGAGATGCAGCACGCGAGTCCAGAGCGAGTCTTTCCTCCCATACGTCAATCTCGCCCCCTGCGCCTCCGACGCCCAGGAAGTAAAGATTGAGGCGCAAGTCTGCGCCCGAGGATTATCCTTCGCAGTCGTGCTCGCAGAGGTCCGCCACGACAAGCCCGGTAGCTCCTGCTCGCGGGAGCAATGGTCCAGCTGCTGTGCCCGCCCGCAGGCGACTTGCGCATGGGCGGCCAGGGCGCCCGGGGGCAAATTCTCCAAGCCCCCTTTTCCACCGGCGGAGCCCCGCCCGAGCCGCGCAGAGAGGAAGGGGCCCCTGCCGCCCAGAGTGGTCACGCACTGTCTCCGTTAGCCTTTGCAATTCTGCGCCTCCGCCATCAGGCGCCCCCCCCCGGGGCCAGTTTTCTTGGCATCAAAAGAAGCTACTTCGCGCGACCTACTGGTTCATCGCCGCAACTGATTCACCCCCGGAGGAGGCGCGGGCGGCATCAAACTACGTCCGATGGCTCAATTCGCTCTGGGCGCAGCCAAGCCCGTCACTGGTGGGCCGCGCAAAGTGCATGCATATGCGCATATGCACGCACGTTTTGCGACGCGTCTTCCAGGAGAAACATTGCTGGGAGCGGTTGGGCATTTGTCGCGGCAGCGGCTGGCGCGGGTCGCGACGCGCGCAACGCGCGCTGCCTCGCCGACATCCATCGCTTTCGACAGCGATGAAGCCACCACAACTAGTGAGCTAATGGGCATGCTGCGTCCTGCCCGCGGATTCTCGGGCACGATGGGCCGCGGCAGAACGCCGGCCATGGGCCGGGAGATGCGCCTATCTTTGAGTTGCACTGCGATAACATATCCGCCATCGGCATCGCCCTGCGACATGTCGTACCACGTGCTAATCCGGAGGTGGCACATCTAACGCGCGCGGTATACGAATGTGGCCCACCGTCGCTACGCACTAGCTCTGCGGCGCATCAACGCACGCGCGCATACGCGCGCACAACCAATGGAGCGGATGCGCGGAAGCGATAACGCGGGATGACGGCGCATCGCCGACGCTACCTCCAGCCGGCGTCTGCGAGGCCCTTCGTTTCAACGAGGGCACGGACTGGATGTTGCCGCGGCAGGCGCCGCAGGCTATTCGCGGGGCGCGCCCGCTAGATCAGGCAGGCAACCGGGATATCGGGCCCCCCCGAGAGAGAATCAGAGCCGTTCGACACGCTCCCCAAGCAAATCGTCGAGTCGAGGTCCGTGGTCTTGACTTTGCGATTGGTCTCTTTCACTGCCGCGTCTGTCAGGGGCTCGCGCGAGGCTTCGGGCGGGCCAGTGAAGCTTGCAGGGGAACTCCTAAGTCAACAATTCCTCAGGGAAGGGTGGCGATAGCTGGTTTTCAAGACGCCGGAAATCCAGCGGGGCCCAGGACTGCATCAGGTTTGTTCGCTATGTCGTCTGGGGCGCAATGCAAGAAACACTTCGGGGTCGAGCAGTGGGCGTCC